CCGCGCCATCGGTAGCTGCCTCATGGCTATTGTCAACGCCATCGGTTCGGTCTGCCACGCCATCATCAGTGGTGTAGTCACAGTGATCGATGTCATCATCTCCTGCCTGACCTGTGGCTACTGTGGAAAACGCCGGCGGGGTCGTCGATCAGCAGTATGATAGGAAACAAACCATCCTGTCTGTGAACACATATTGAGTCCATGGGGATAGAAGGGCTGGCTATGGGTTCTACGAGTTATGCCGGCGCGAATTTTCTTTTGTCATTACGTCTTCTTGGAGAATATACCCCGTGGCGCAGTTTTTAATTTTGAATCATGAATCAGATTTTCGAATATGAAATACTTCACATCGACATGTACTGTTTCTTTTGTACAGAAGATGGACATATGGAGAAGAATGTATATACCATGGTAAGTCAGAAATATGGGCATGAAGTTGTAGATATATGACTGAATATACACATATGAGTGTGAGCCCTATCTAAGAAGCAATTATATCAACGCCCATCTTTCGGCGAGGACGACTCAACATATCGCAGCAAATCCTGTTTCGCTTCTGCGGGCATATCATCCCAACGCTCATTCAAAATAACATTTGCAAATGGATCCCCAGGTCCATTACCATAGCGCCGGACCAGGGAATAATGGAAATGTTGGAGCGGCCAGCGAGCAGGGACACGGCAATTTGCAGCGCGGAACGATATACGCAGCAAGCGGCGAAAGGGCTCGATCTTGCGAGTTCGAATGAGACGGTATGTGATCGCAGAGGATCGGTCCGGTCTGGCCTCATCCTCGTCCAGGTAGAAGTCCGAAGAGAGCAGCTGCAAGAACTCAAACTGTGCATCTGACCAGGGCGAGCGCAAGACCTTGTCCGGAATGCGACCAGGTCCAATAGCCACTGAACATGGCAGCCGGAAGAGGTCATTCTCGTGGTATATCTCGTGGGGTTTACGGATCTGGACAGCGCCAGAATGGAACCATATTGCCACTTTGCGGTCGACCGTGCGGGACGACGGGGTCCGCGAGGCTTCCTCCAGCTTCGCGGGGATGATTAAATCCCCTTTCCCACGCCGGCCGAGTACGGCCCAATCACAGGCTTCTAGGTTTTCAAAGCGTGGGTCCAGATTTGACAGCACTGCTCGGTCGTCCGGATGGAAGACGAGGCCGGCGCATTTGCGTCGGATGGCATGGGCAACGTACTCACGCTGGCATCTTCGGAACAGGGAAAATGTGCACCACCGACATGCCAGCAGGTCAGTCTGTAATTGTTGGCGCTCTTTCCAGGACAAGGCCCAGAAGTCCAACGGTGGGGGTAGGAAATCCGGGGTAAAGAAGCCCTCTCGCGAGCCTGAATTGGGACTGCTGAATGCAAGCCGAATGAGCCAGGTATAGAGTAATGGAGTGGAGAGTGCTCGGCTGAGACGTGGTGAAGCACGAGGGAAATTCACTTCAAGACTATGAAGAAAGATCAACTGCAGGATTTCCACTGGCAGCGACTCAAGGCGCGAGCACGGGTGGTCGGCCAACGGATCGGAGGAGCCTGGGCCCATTTGCTATAACTTGTATAGCTTGCTCGTAGCAAGACAGTGATCACATGTAAATGACACGGTGTATTTATATAGTTGTAAATGGCCAGGGAGGACGAAGAGCAGAGACGGATATGGGTTATCTCAATGGAAACACAGTCCATATGATATCGACTGCAGACTTCGCATAATGTTGTCCCTGAAGCCCTCGTGACTTGTAAGGAAGGCACTTGACAGGGCTTCCAGGGCAGTCTCCAATGAAAAGGATTGAAAGGAAAAATCCCGGCCCATTGCTGGGAGAGGGGTAGGGGAAGTGGGTAAAATGAGGTGAGTTGCATGTCTTGGCAAGGCCAGCTTTGGAGCTCATCAAGCGACATTATGTATGTGGCTTGATCGTCTGTCGCAGCAATAGATCAGAGTATATTGCTTGGTATTTCTTGTCGGGGTTTCAAAAAGAAACAGTTCTCGCGTGATACTTCGCGATATATCCAAACACAATCCCCACGCCTGGAGAGCTTGTTTGGATATATATCGGGCACACAAGATGTTTATTGACTTTCCTTTTCCTAATTACAGCCAATTTTCGATGATCATTTGGTTTACTATCCTGTTGAGAAAGAACGAGATTACAGTAGAATCTATTGATGAACGCAGAAACGACAAATGTATTGTTTCTATACACATCCCAGCTGCCCCACCACACTATCGGTGGTATCTGACCACACACTGGCTGAATAGCCGTATTCTTGGCTCCAAAAGTCATGACCACGTAGTGTGATGGAGCAAGGAATAGAAAGGCGGATTTGAGGCCACAAGAGTCCACGCTTAGACGGCGGACAGATCGCCGAAGCGCTCCTACAAAAGGGAACCGTATAAGTATCGAAGCAGATGCGTTGCAATTGGCAAGACAGTCAACACATACCTTGTAGCCAGGGGGCATCCACTTGCCTTTGGAGACGAGGGAAGCGGTCTTCTCGTCGATCTCGGGCTGGGCGGAGGCAACCTCGTCCTAAAAAAGCAGCCTCGTAAGTAATGATTCCAACCTCGCAATTTGCAGCTGATAATACGTACGACAGTGAGGTCCTCGAAGGGACGGGCGGTCTCGATGTTCTGCAGGGTCTTCTGCAGGTTCTGCAACTCGGCCTCAACCTTACCCTTGGTAGCCTCGGCGTTCTGAACGGCCTGGGCCTCGAAGGCGTCGATGGCCTTCAGCTGGCGGTTGACATCGTAGGTAGCGGGCTTGAAGGTCTTGAAGTGGTTCTCGAGCTCGTCGACGATGGCCTTGTTCTTCAGGATGCCGCGGTAGTGGCTGAAATCAACGGTCTGGTCCTGCTCGGACAGGACCTGGACCTTGCGGCGAGCATCGTCGTTGCGCTTCTTGAACGCTTGGAGGGAGGCGGCGGTCTGGCCGCGGAGGCCGAGGGAGGTCGACACCTTGGCCCAGTCGATCTTGAGAGCGGCGCTGCGCTGTTTTCGGGTGGGAGTTAGCGGGAGTCTTGCGGGCAGGTTGACAAGGGTTTTTCATGACGAGTAGCAGGAGCAGAACATACAGCAGCCATTGTGACGGGTATGATAGAGGTTGGGGGTGGGGAGAAGAGAGGGGAGTTCAATGTGCAGGGAGGTGCCGAACGAGGAGCGACCCGGAAGGTTTGGATTGCTCGGGTCACGTGATGTCCATTCCGAAATCCACCGTGTATTATACAGGCAGGGGACAAATTATAGAGCGATCGTGTTGATTCTTATAAATAACTTGTGGAGAGGACTTAGTTTTTTGATCATTACGATATAGATTGAATGGTTGCTCAACCATGGGTTCAATTGTTTTTTGGGCTAAATCGTGTACACTATGGGCGACAACATGCCAGATATCTCGATCTGGTATCATAACCCAAGTCCCTCATAGAACCTTAAATACGGTCACTCATTATATGCTGAGAGCCATGATGGAGTTAACGATATCGTTGTCGTTCTCTCGGAGAGCCTTGACGGCCTTCTTGCGGGAGACGTTTGCTTGTGCCATGACCAGCTCGATATCCTTGGACTCAAGGTTGGACTCATCAACCTCCTCACCATCATCCTCCTCATCCTCCTTCTTATCATCGGTCTCGGGGGCCTTGGCCTTGCCGAGAATCTCCTCCTCGTGGTCGTGACCGGCGTGGTCGCCGGTGGCCTCGGAGGCAGCGAGCTGCTGGGCGGCGGAAGCCTGGGCCTGGGAGTTCAGGTCCTCAATCTTGGCCTCACCGAAGATGCTAGAAGTGTGTCAGTAAATGTCGTTCACACAAGAGTGGCTCCAATTGGGTTCCACATACATCCAGCAGTTGCTGTTGGGGGAACGGTAAACCTCGGGCTGGTTGACAACGAAGAGGATCTTTAATTCCAGAAATTAGCATCTCCACATTGAGAATATATCAAGAAATTTTATCCCGTTGGAAGCCAGTGTTGCGGTTGATAGTCGCAATCACATTGTACTTAGCGGGGTAGAAATTCTCATGACGGTCGCATCGGGATCACATACGTTCTTGGGGCGGCGGAGGGTGACACGGGTGATGCCAGGGACGAGCTTCAGGCCGAGCTTGCCAATGGCCTTGCGGGCCTTCTTCTCACCACGGGAGTGGACAGCGACGGAGGCACCGGCGGGAATGTTGGGCTCATCGCCAGCCTCGGAGCCAGACTCATCAGAGCTCTCCTCGACGGTCTTGGAGACCTCGTCATCGTGGATTTCTTCGACGCGGGGATCAGCCATTTTTGCGATGTAAAGGTGCCTAAGAAGAATCCGAAAAAGAGAGTTGATTAGTTGGGCTGTTTCGTTCGGCAATGGGTGTCAGGGCTGGTTGAATGGTGTGAGAGCGGGCATAGTGGGAGAGATTGTAGAGAGGCTGGTCCAACCCCCACGAATCGCACAACACTCGGGAAAGGGCGGAATTTGATGTTGAAAAGGCGAGAATTGAGTCGAGTAAATACTCCTACATACCTGAGGGGTAAATATCAAGCTGTTGTGAGTGGGGATGGATTTTGTTGAAGTTGAGGTGCGTAGCTGTGCGCCAGACCGAACCCGAAAATCATTAGCGAGCGCCCACCCCCAGACTGCCCGCCCTGCACACATTGCCCTATATGGAACTACATCACCGATTCTAAACTAGATTGGCTAATAATTTATAGATCTCATCTAGATCAGAATATATAAAGATAAATAATACAGTTAATACAGTTTCCAGGTCATTATTTACGTATCTGCTCGTTCTATTCTTTTGTAGAGCCAGATATTCAGTATTCCCGTTTTGGGGGATATAAAATGAGTCCAGAGTCGGAGGAAAACCAAATGACAAAAGGCCCCTTTGTCGGGATATCAAGGATTTTGAATCATTTTTGCTGTTCATTGATAATGCGTACAGCGATTTTGCCAGAGTATTACCAGCAATGGAAACCCTTCCAGGACACCTCCTTCAAACCCATGCACCGAAACCTCGTAATCATCTATGACTTGTTGGCAGCGCGAGCCTTGGCGTGGGACTTCTGGACCTCGTAGCGAGCCTGGAGTTGAATGTGTTAGTTGGACTGTTTGTAATTCCCCAGATTATCCGATCGGGTGGGCTCGGGCGCATTATGCTAGAACGAATCCCCCTTTGGATCTTTCGACGTACCTGCTTGCGGAGGCGCAGAACCTTGAAGCGCTCGAAGTCGGACAGGTTCTTGCGGCGCTCGGAGCGCTCGGTGCGCTGAGCGAAGGAGCTCTTGGCCCACTTGCCATCAATCTCGTTCTTAGCCCAGAGCTTCTTCACGGGACCGGTACCGGCAGCACGGGGGAGCTGGGGAATGGTGAAGTGAGTGAGGGTGGCGTGGGCGAGAGGGAGAACGTGACGGGGCACGATCTTCTGCTCCTCGGTGGAGGGACCGTCGACCAGGACCTGAACAAAAAATCGCAAGTCAATACACATTTCCAAGTCAAACGTCTCCGAAAATCCGATTCTCCAAATTTGTCACGATTTCCGGACTCAAAGGGCGATTCCACATACACGGCGGTGGTCCACGATCTCAACGATGGCAGCAAGCTTGCCTTCGAAGGGGCCGCTGCGGATCAGCACTAGGCGGCCAACCTCAACCAGCTTCCACGAAGAGACCTTGACATCGATATCGGCCATGGCGAAATTCTGCGAGACGAAAAATTCAGCGTCGCCGTTCTGTAATATTTGTAGATTGCACACTCACGGTCGACAGGGGGTATGAGTCGAGAAGGGGTTGTCGAAAGAGTTCAATTGTCCAAGAGTTGTCTCGAAATTCGGATGTGCCCACACTCGCAATATTCTCGCTTAACTGGCCACTTGCAGGTCTAGGGCTCTGATTACCTCATCATCCGTATTAACCATTATCCGGTCCCGTGCATTTATCTCGCTTTTTTTTCGGCGCAGAACCTTTGTTGATCTCTCCAAGCTCCCTAGCTTTACAAGCTTAAGACTTTGATGACGAGTCTGCATTTGCTTCAGTTTCGACAACTGCTAACATGTAGCATCTACTAAGGTATGCTCATATTCCCCTTTTCCCCGTCATCTTCCGGCCTCTTCCCCTCATTCCTCATATGATGCCGTAATTTGCGATTGACCCAGTGTCTGTGAGGCCCTCGCCGGGGTACTCTATACAGCGCTGTCGGATGATATTCAATTTCTTACATATTCTGATATGGATTATAACCCTCATATATTATGCTGTCAATGGTTCTGAGAAACATCGATCTGACAGTTTGGAGATTTTAGGATATCGACTTGATACTCAAGGACAACATTCGCAGCTCTCCATCTTTTCGCAGTGTACGTTCACCCAATGCCTCATCAACCCCACGTTCGATGATTAGAAACTTTTATCACGCCTAGATAGTAATTGAGCTTCTGGCTGTGAAATTACCTTAACTACCAAGATCTCTGAGAACCTTATCATCTTGCACATTATTGCTTGTTATGTTGGTTATGACTCGTCGCTGACTTTCAAAAGAATATAGGATAAACTGTGTCAAGACTGGCAGCTCGCTGTCTTATATAGCCAACCCGTTGACTGAAATGCAAAATGTTTCGAAAAGAACTTCTCGGTAGCTTAGATTGTACTGCTGTGTCTGTACTCGACTTAGCCTACTCACCTTAATCCACTTATGTTGTACGTCTAAAAACACCTTGGTACAAATGCAAATAGTTTTTGATTACAATAAGTCGTGCTATATCGTTACCTCAGCCGTGCAATGCCCAAAGACCCAGAGCAAGCCACTTGCCCCTTCATGCTATGCCTTCCTACCAACATAGTCTATCTCTCCCAAATAGTAAAGAGCAAATATTTCCTTGTCCCTCTGTGCACCTAATTATGATGATGCAGATCCGGCAGATGTCGCAGAGGACGGTCCCTCGCGACTGAGCACCCACATGAAAATGAACTGAACCGCGTAGGAGTATACGAACAAGAACTGGCCGCGTCGGTTGCGCTGCGACCGAGCCACGGCTTGCATCGAACCGGCATGCATGGCGGAGTCGGTCGAATCGGGGAGCAACACATATTTCAGCGAGCGAAGCTAGAGTTGAATATTAGCAACTGTTGAACACCCTGAAAGACTATGTCAAAGGCGTCACTTACCAGGAAGAACGCATTGGCCAAGAACGTGTACACAAACACGGTCCAGCCAACCCAGCCCCTAGTCCCTCGTCCGGGGTTGAAGACCTCAGACGCCACCATAGTGACAATGATTCCAACGAACTTGTAGCCTGAGTACGCCACCAGATCCAGCAGCTGCGAGTCATTGTTGATGCTCAAAATGTATGTCGCCAACTTCAAGCATAGAATCTCGAAGGCGATCACTGCAATGGCTGTGGTTGTTATCGAACCCAGAAGCTCCGGGTGGAAATCACCACGGAATCCAGCCAGTAACACCGACAGCAGAATATATGTGACCAGGGCCATGACGGGAATATACATGTCCGGCGAGTTTAGGTCGTCGCGCGGAGGCAGGAACATGGATGAGTATTGTTGCTGAATGATTTGACCACTTGGTCCAGAGGTTGGAGCCATTCGGGCTTGCTGTCGGGACCAGGGTTTGTGTCGCCAGGGGAAGAGGACGAGGATCAGCTTGTTCAGGACGTAGGAGTTGGAGACGTTAAAATAGTGCTTGAGAGCGGGTATAGAGACATAGCGATTGAACTGTAGGTCATCTCCAAGTTAGCTATAAGCGATAAATAAAGATATATCAATGGTGCATACGTTGTTTTCCATGTACTCCTGCCCAGCCGCCATTGCGCTTTTGCCGACCTGGAAGCCCATCTGCGCCGTGGGATCGTTCATGAATCCACCGAATCCAGGAGTACCAGGGGCATAGCTTCCACTGCCACCCTGAGCTGGTGACGGTTGGTACGGGTTACCGCCATATCCAGCACTTGGGGGTTGTTGGGGAGCTGGTGGTGGAGGTGAGCGCATCATAGGGACGGTCGAGACATGTTGCGGGACGGGGTGATGAAGGGGCGGCGATTGCGCGGGCGGCGGAGCGAAAGAGCCCCGATACATAATCACCTAGATAGGAGAACGAAGAAAAAAGGATAAGGAGCGTGAATTTCGGTGGCGAACGTGTCGTCCGGATCGTGTGCGTGTGCCGGGGGTTTGGTGAAGACGTGAGATTAATAGCGGAGGAAAGTGTTTATACGTGGCTGAAGATCCAACCCGCTTCCGAGCTCCCCAACTTCGCCCCGTTCCGCCACCGACAAGTCGCACCAGGCCTTTTTTTCACCTCCCACGTTGATTGTCTGCTTCTCACATTCCGAAATCGATTATCCGGGATACTCAGAATGTTGGAGGCTTTTGAGATTTTGACGACCTCGGGCGTGGTGCTCTGGTCTAAGGCGTACGCTCCAGTGGGCGCACATGTCATCAACAGCCTGATCAACGATGTCTTTATCGAGGAGAAAGTCGTGCCTCAGAACGGGACAGCTGGTGGAGTCTCTCCGGCGTATAAGAAGGAGAAATACACGCTGAAATGGAAGAGAGTCAAGGAATTCGATTTGATCTTCGTGGTATGTCTGTCGCATGCGCCTCGCTGCGTCCACTAACTCTGAGTTTACGCAGGCCGTCTACCAATCGCTACTCCACCTTGGCTGGATCGACAAACTTCTTGAGAACATTTCGACAATTTTCATCGATCTCTATAAGGACCAGGTGAAGGGAAACCGCGCGAGAATCCATACCTATCGGTTCGATCAATACTTTGAACAGCAAGTTCGGGAGCTTGAAGACAATACTAGTGGCTTTGTAGAGGAATATGTGCCAGAGACTGGCGAAAAGAAAGACCCGCTTGTTTCGTCGGACAATGGAGGCCCACCGCCGCCACCGGTGCCTGGCCTGGTGAAAGGTATGGAATGATACCTCCCGGTTTCAAGCCCGTGCTGACCATCCCAAAGCGCAGCCTAGAGCTGCGCTAGCCGGGGCGACCTCTGATGAGGGCACGCCACCAGCTACACCAGAAATTTCTAGATCTTCGACCCCTCAGGGTCATCTTCTTACAGCGAAAGCCGGACCTGGAGGTCGTGGTTCCCGACGGTCCCGCAAGGCTGCCAATTCGAGCGCCAATGCATCGTCTGGAGATGAAGCCCGGAAGGGCAAGCCTGCCAAGACCCCCGTGAAGAAGATGCGCAGATGGGATGCCAGTGGGATGGCAGATGAGGACGACGGAGAGATCCTCGATTATTCTGCACCCGCAGAGCAAGGGGAGTCTGCCGCTCCAGCGGTGGAAGCTGTCTCCGAGGATGACTGGGGTCGTCGAACTGGTAAAGGCCAATTCGTGCTGAAGGAGTTGGGCGAGGAAGTTCAATCCATCTTGGACCAAGCTGATGCGGAAAAGTCCAAGGGCACTGCTTCGTCGGGTGTCGTTGGCTCCGGGTTCAACGCCATTGGGGGCTTCTTCCGTAACATTGTGGGCGGAAAGGTTCTGACAGAGTCTGATCTCGAGAAGCCTCTCAAGGCGATGGAAGACCACCTTTTGAAAAAGAACGTCGCCCGTGAAGCTGCTGTCCGGCTCTGTGAGGGAGTCAAGCGTGAGATGGTTGGCAAGAAGACTGGGAATTTCCAGAGTACTGATGCCGCATTGCATTTGGCCATGGAATCTTCGCTGCGGAAGATCCTGACGCCGACTTCTTCTTTGGATTTGCTCCGTGAGATCAACGCTGTAGTCGCTCCCACCACCAAGCAGCAGGCGCCTCGCCCATACGTCATGTCTATCGTTGGTGTCAACGGTGTTGGGAAGTCGACCAACCTGAGCAAGATCTGCTACTTCTTGCTCCAAAACAAGTACCGTGTCCTCATTGCAGCATGCGATACTTTCCGTTCCGGTGCCGTGGAGCAGCTGCGCGTGCACGCTGACCGCTTGAAGGAACTAAGCGTGCGCGAGAATGCAGGCGATGTGGAGATCTACCAGAAGGGCTATGGCAAGGACGCAGCCAACGTTGCCAAGGATGCAGTTGACTATGCTGCGGCCAATAAGTTTGATGTCGTCCTGATTGACACTGCCGGTCGTCGGCATAACGACCAGAGGCTGATGTCCTCGCTTGAGAAGTTCGCCAAATTTGCTAACCCAGACAAGATTTTCATGGTTGGTGAGGCTCTGGTCGGCACGGACAGTGTCATGCAGGCCCGCAACTTCAACCAGGCATTTGGCGCTGGCAGGAACTTGGACGGCTTCATTATCAGTAAATGTGACACCGTCGGTGACATGGTGGGAACACTGGTCAGCATGGTCCATGCCACTGGAATTCCGATAGTTTTCTTGGGCGTTGGACAACATTATGGAGATCTGCGAGGGCTCAGTGTTCCCTGGGCTGTTAATCTGCTGATGAAGTAGGGACGACTTGATATCCTAGTTTGATATTTCTTAGCTATGTACACTTTATATGAATCCTTTGCTTGCTACCCTTGTTACTTGGCAGTCAGGTTGCTATAGTCTCATGTACTGGATTCCTTGTGAAATAATGCAGAACCACGTCCACGTTCCTCTAGTCGCAAATACCATTTCCAGCACTAATTCTACTCAACTGAATCCTTCACAGTCTTGTCGAGGTCGTTCATGGATAAATGTGTGCTTTAATTGATATGCAGTCCTGACCAGGCACCTGTTTGGCCTGAAGTCCGCCACCGCGGCTGGCACATATAGCTATCGGAGTCCCAATCTCTGAGGTTTGCAGTTACTGATACTGTATTGTCATGTTGGCTTGGACGGGATCTCCCAAACTCTGCCTCCACAGTAGTACACGCTTTCTATCGATGTGCAGTTCCTCCATGCCAATCCAGCACCATTGGACGATATCCTCAATCATATATGCCTGTATTTCACGTTCCTAATGATTACATCTCATTTTGTCACTGCAGTCTCAGCAACCACCCCCCAAAACCCCAAATCGCCACACACCCTACTACCATCAACGACCAGTCTAACCACATCTCCCTCGAACAACAGAGCAAAAAGAAAGGCAAGCAGCAAAAATCTACTGACCGACGCAGGGATCGAACCTGCAATCTCTTGATTCGTAGTCAAGCGCCTTGCCATTGGGCCAGCCGGCCTCGTTGAAAATTTTGGTCACGTTTTGATATATGGGGCAACCGAGTTTTTAGGGCAAGGCCCCACTTTAAATGTTCGCATCGGGATTTCCATGCCGTGTTCAGAGGCCATTCTCTCCAACCATGCGTATATTAGATCGGTGCGAACAGTTTCAGGGTAATCAAAGTTAAACAAAGGTGGTGAGCCAGAAGAATTGAGAAAAATACGCACCAAGATGCGCGAAACATTGCAAAGATCTCAGGTCTTTAGAAAGCAAGACGACTTCAAGTTAGTGCAATCGAACGCAATAAGTTCAAAAATTATCCATTAAATTATTTACTAGCTTGAGTATATGAAAGCTGTTAGAAATGAATGACTTATTTTGAATTCGAACTCCTTCTCTTCTATCCCACGAAAATAACGAGGATGTATAATGAACCCATGCTCAAATGCACAAAGGGATGGTAGATCAATTCTTACGATCGATCAAAAGAATTTTACTGCGCCACATTCCCAGCCAATTCGTGCTGGCTTGAGGCGACCCGAGAACAGGGACGAGTAATCTGTATCGGGCACACCTTTCTTCTCGTCTAGGTTATGGAATCGCAAATGGCGCACCATAGTCGCCACAATGACAGCCAGATTGAGGTATGCAAATTTCTCTCCGATGCATCGATGACGCCCAGCCCCGAAGGGAAGATATGGACTGGAGGTACCCTTGGACATTGCGCCGTATCCATAGTCAACGATATCCTCCTTCTTGTTTTCATCGGGGGCTTGTGTCTCCCATCAATGAGGGTCCCAGGCCATGGCGTTCGGGAAATATTCGTCACTCGTCACTAAGAGCTGTAACCCCTGGTGCAGCGAGCAAAACGTGAGAGGTAGGAATGACGTAAGGAGTGCCAGGAACTGGAAGCGGGTTTTTGACTTTGCGCAAGAGCGAATGGATCAAGCTATTGACACGGAGGATCTCTCGGATGACATTCTGACGTAGTGGGAGATTGTCAATGTCTTCGAGCCGGAGAGGGGCCAGAGTACCATTGGGGCCCGTTCGCTCAATGTTGGCGACCTGCTCTTGGTAGAGCTCCTCAACGACAGCAGGCTGCGAGACGAGCCGCAGCATAATCCAGGGGCTAAGCGAGGACGATGAGTGCTGGCCAGCCATCAGCAGCGTGATCATGATATGAGCGATCTCCCTATCCGGCAATGGCTCTCCATTCTTGTTGGTACACTGCATCAGATTTCCAATCATATCCAGTTTCTCTGGGACATTGTCGCCAGCATTTCTCCGCTTGTTGATTATATCGACGTAGATTGCACGCATCTGAGCATGCGCAGCATCACGCTTCTTATTATGCGGCAGGGGAGCCCAAGGCAACATGGAATTGATCGGAGTGAAGCCTTTATCCAAATTATGGTAGAGAACTGCAAACTATGTGGTGAGTTTCGACCGCACTTCTTCTCCCCGGAGAGCGCTTCCTGCGGCAAAGATGTTAATCTGCGCCATTGCTGATGGGATATCCACTGCCCCCGATGCTCCATGAAAATTGGGTGACATAGCAAGCTAGTCCTCACTTTCTTCTCAATCAACGGCACATGTGCCTCGAGCGCCGCCTGAGAGAGACCAATTTTGATAAATTCCTTCTGCTTTATAAGCTTTGAATTCGGGCAATCGTAGGCGACATCTGACCCGAATACCGGAGCTGTCAGGGGGCTGTACACCTCCTCCGCATTAACATCTTTGAGCTTGCCATTGAGAATGAATTCGTTGCCCTGTGCTCCGAGATAAACTGTGGTTGGACGTCCCAGGAGAATGAAGGTAAAGATATCACCGTACTGATCGAGACAATTCACCCCTATCAGCCTCCATCGCCTCGCAGAAACATCATAAACTACTCACCTTCTCGCAACAGGAAAAGAAAAAGCCATAAGGGTCTATCCTATAGTGAATTGTGCTGCCGATAAAAGGAACTCAATGAAAGACCAAAGGCGGCCTAGTCTGGTTCAGCATGCGAAAAAGGAATTGGTAGACGACGTTGAGTACGATGGTTGCTACAAAGGCCAGTAAGGCGGCGTAGGCCCCAATCAAAGGCCTGGACACGGCGAGTAGAAAGGCCCAGTAGGCCGCTGATGAAGGGAAAATGAAAACCCAATGAAATCAGATGTTAAAAAAGAACAAGCTGACAAAAGAGAAAATCGCAATTGGGGCTCGGAGTATCTTGTGTTTTTCATTCGAAACAGTACTTTCGTCCTGGCCCGATGGGACTCGCAGCAAGTAAATCCGTATACGTATCGTATGACCCGGGACTTGACCAGCCCGTACTGTATGATGCAGCTCTGGAGTATGGCAGCACCTTGGTCTGCATATCCCCCTGCAGCGCCGAGGCGCCCAGAGCCGATAGACAAAGAACTGAAAAGAATCCGCTACTTTCACGCAATATCAACGCTTGGCTGCATCTGCTAGTTTCTTCGCCTTCCAAAAATCCTGAACAGTTGATCCTCTGTTTACTTTGGGGGCGAAAGATCAGATCCCTGCATGCCTATTAGTACGTGGTGGACCCAACAGTCAGATGTGCAAGGGGTCAATTAGACGATAGACGGTAATTTTACAACATAGAGACCGATAAATGAAATGCTAATTGGACTAAATTCGCTCTGGTGAACTTTGGACGGGACTATATGGACTTTATTCCTACGCTTGGCAAGGCTCTATCACATGTAAGTTTTATGAGATCTCGTGAAAAAATGACTATTCTATACATTCTTAGGCTAGAAAGGAGACTCCATGCATGTACGATACATGGCTGTTTCTACGGATATCGGAAGAAATGACGGTTTTTACGCTCTTTGGCCCGAAGCCAGTTCGTTAGTTTGCAGTTGACCCCCATGTACGGAATAATAGTTTGCATTAAAACCGCATGCCAAGGTTGGCGAATTTCAAGCAAGCGTATGAAATTCCAGAAATTCCTTACGGAAGCTTTGATATTGACTGCGCCATCGTATAATTTTTGGCAGGACAGTATACGGCCCAAGAGCTCCGACATTAAAGTCCAGTTCATAAAAGAGAAGCGTTGCCCACTCTGCATGGTCGGCACCAACTAGATCACATACTCCAAATTTGTCAGCAATGTTCCACCATTTCTGGTCGCTATTTTGAAACTTACAGGGATGAACAAATAGGGAACTTCTCTCTCATAGCGCTTCCAGGCCTCACCGTACTTTCTTCGGCATCGGTTGATATCCCTGTTCGTGCGGTGGATGATCATTACCATGAAGAAAATGAAATAAAACCAAGGGAATGGGCTCCTATTAGTAGGTAGTCAGTTATGTCAATCCATGACCTTTGTAACCAGAAAATCTTACTTGAAACCGGTAATCAGGCCCCATGACATAGAAAAGAACATGTCAGGCACATAGTTTGGTTTTCGAATGATTGCAAACCAGCCATCGACCATAATATGATCGCCTGTGTCTGTTTGAATTGTCTTGGGGTTCTCGATAGCCTGCCACGGCACTTGAGGGAACGTCTTCCGCTTGATAAGCTGGCCCTTTTCCTTGTGGCGGAAAGCGTTCTTCTGGCCATTCGCACTATCCCACATCTAGTAGAAAAAGATGTACAAGGCAGAGAAAACTGCGAGGGCATATCGGTTCCAGTGATATTCAGATGGGTGATGGTTGGCCAAGTAAAGCGCACAATGGCAATAAGTGAAAGGCACACCAGCCATATTCCAGAAGGTGAGCAGAAACCCGAGCTTTTCAAAATATATGTCTCTTTTTCAGCGTCCGTTAGCTGGAATATTAACGTAAGGATTTTTCTTCACTTACCAGCTTGTAATGATCATCTGTTTAGCTTTGGCACAAGCATTGGTGTATAGGTAGTGCGCTCCAGCCAGGAAGACTACCTCGGCTGAGACATAGCCATATGTTTCGTACTGGCGAGCCGCCACGGAGCAGGTGATAAGGAACAGAATAAACCACGGGATTCTGACCTCGTAGAACATCTTGAAGTCCAAAATTCCAATCCGCGGATTCAGTTCAGCACCCATGAAGAAATCATAGATGGGAGAACCCGACAGCCTGTGGGTCCGTCCGCGTATTATAGCTTGGATGTAGACGATGAAGCTGTTCAGGAAGCCGGACAGAATAGAGACACTCATGATAGGTCCAAATTCGTCAATCAGTGTGTACAAAGGGAACACACTAGTAAATTGCAAGGTGGCAGCAATGGCAAGCGTCGCGTAGAAGCTGCAATAGGCGGAGCAGTAGTAGGGAAGCCTCTTGCAGCCTTCGTGCCTTAGGGGCCGGCCGAAATTTGAAACTCCAGGCATGTAGCAATACATCAGTGCCTCCATGATGAAAAAGGTCCAGTAGATTGCCCATGCTTTAGCGGTGGGGTAGGCTCCCTCGTAAACCAGTTGGCAAAGGTGACGGCCAAAGTCGGCCTATGTCTGGTTGGACTCAGGCAGAGGAAGCATGCCATCATAATAAGTTGCGCCAATCCACATGTACCACATTAAGAGGGGAAAGCCTGTCATCAACAATGTAACGCCGACTGAGCCTCCAAACTCGAACTCATCGGACGCGCCGTCTGTAAGTTTGGAGGTGGTCTTCGGTTCATTGTCCTTGACACCTTTAGCAGGTGGAGCAGCGGCCACGGAATTCTCTGTGACACGGCCATTACTAGCAATGAGATGAGGAAGGATTCACAGATTCGTCGGAAATATTGTTCTCACAAGGGCCAGCTCTTTTCAGGGGCATCATGTGACCTCGCGCGCAGGCATTTCCAAGGTTGAATGCAGTGTTGCTCAAGTAAACTAAAGCGCAAAAGGGAAAACATGTGTCACGGCCCTAAGTCTGGTGTATATGTACTACCTAGGTACGTATAAGGTAACTATAGACTTTAATACTATTTACATATATGTGTACATCTCTTGAGTGAAACTGTAAGAGCTAATGCTATCAACCTAGGTACATTCCATTGGCTACATATATGTATATATTTTGATGATTTGCAGCCAATCCTATAAATCACATCAGCATGATGCCTGCATACCTAGGCCCACCTAAGCTGCGTATAGATGAACGAGTGGTGTATCGTATTCCCTTGACTTACATCCCGTGTTTTATCATTTGACATTCGTAAATGCCCTATGATATTACTGATTTGGTCTCAAGTATCCTACATTGTCTACCTAGCTTGGAATAACTTTGTTGAGCCTCGGCACCAAATTGTAACACAAGATCGACGCATGCAAGGGCCATAAATCTTCAAACCCAATAAGGAACAAGCAAATAAGCGCCATGCAGAAAATGGAAATTGTACCACTGCCTGCGGGCCTGCCTCGTTAACAACCTTGGAAGGTGCTCCAGGGCTTCAGGGCTTCAGGGCTGGCTGGAACAAATTACTCAGCAGAGATCTGCAACATCGCTTACATCATCATTGTGTTCCCTGATCCGGGTTGCGGTCTTTTGCGGCGACTTCAATCCTCCTAAGCTTTTTGACACATTTTGTTTCTCAATCGTCTACTTAGACGTGCATTTAACCTTTATCCCATTGACCGGGCAAGGATTCGACCAGCGCAGGTTGCAACCATACCAATAAGCTCTCACACGACAGCATTGCGTCTACAACCAGGCTTTCCGCACAACCCCCAATCGCATGGTCAGTTGTGACAGGACTTCATTCAGACTTGATTTTGCTGGTGTGTCGCCAGAATGACGGGTCCAGACCGGGCTTCGCTCAATCGCCGCTCCTCCACGCAGCATTACCAGACCTTCGATACTCCACCGCCCAAGTCGCGTGGGCGACCTAACTCGGGCCAGTCCGAGTCCTCTGCGGACGGCTCCCACGATCCCCATTATGACAGCGCTGATACCCCCGGAACGTCATCGCCGCTGCCGAAGAGGCAAATGGCAGTGCTAGCCATAATCGCACTGGCGGAGCAAACGGCGTTGAACTCGATCAGTCCATACCTCCCAGACATGGCATCGACATTCCCTGAAGTGGAGCAGACACAGGTGGGCGTATACGTGGGCACCATTGCGTCGGCCTTTGCGCTGGCTCAATTCAGCACGAACTATTTCTGGGGCTGGCTTTCGGACCGTGTTGGTCGTAAGCCGGTAATCCTGCTTGGCACATTTCTGACTGCGATGTGTTTCGTTGCATTCGGATTCTGCAAGACTCTTGCACAGGCTATAGTTGTGCAGGCCTTGATGGGTGTGGTAAATGGCAACCAGGGTTTGGTGTCCACCTGCCTCGGAGAAATCACCGACCGAAGCAACCAGTCCCAGGCTTTTACCTACCTCCCGGTATTATATGGAATTGGAGGTATAACGGGACCACTCCTGGGAGGACTTCTTGTTTTTGAGACGAACCCGTTTACTGGCAATAAAAACCCGTACCCCTATCTCGCACCTAACATACTGTCCGCTGTTGTCCTTCTGATGGACTTCGTTTTCACAGCTTTCTTCCTGGAAGAGAGCCTCGAAGATGCAGACAGTCTTCCAAAAATCGGCAAAAGGGTGCGCAGCTTATTCACATGGCTGTGGCAGTTTACCGGAAATTCCCGCCACCCGACCTATGTGCAGGTCCCGCCAGCAGTGTCATACCCCTACGGCCGCCGCGATTTAGATATCGATGATCACGACAGTGATCTAGATTCTGCGTCTGAGGTGTCGAGCATCCTTGGCCACCCAGAGGAGCTTACTTGGGATGAGATCTTCACTCGAGATACACTCTTACTTCTTTTGACATACCTGATATTTGCTCTCTGCAATGTCTCTTTCAACTCGCTGTTCCCAATCTTCGCACAAGCCAAGCCCCCGGCCGGACGGTCGCTCACCCCGTCCGAGATCGGCCTTGCTCAAGGGTTTGCTGGAATTGTGACGATCATTTTCCAAATCTGTATCTTCAACCGCCTGCGAGACAAGATGGGCAATCGATGGTCTTACCGCGCAGGCCTATTCGGCTTTGTCATCTCATTCCTCTTACTGCCCTTCATTGGGTATAAGAGCAGAACTGGCAAGGGTTTGACTGGCAAGTCGGCCATCATGGCTATCGAACTTTGCCTTGTGTTGCTGATCAAGACCATCGCCTCTGTGGGTGGTCTGACCAGTGCCCTGCTTCTGGTAAGGAATTTCCGATATACTCTTTCTGTAAACTCCACCGAAACTAACGAATTTTCTCCAGGTTACAAACTCGGCACCTAACCATGCCGTCCTAGGCGCCTTGAATGGTCTTGCACAAACTCTCTCCGCAGCTGGACGTGCAGTGGGCCCATTCCTCTCCGGAGGACTGTTCTCCCTCACGGCCAAGATTCAGCCTAAAGGAGAGGCCCTGGCATTCGGAGTCTTTGCTGCGGTCTCCTTCCTTGGCTTCATCATGAGCTTCGGTATCCGTGGTCGTTCACTTGAAGCGGAGGGCTGGGGCGAGGACAGTGATGGAGACAAGTCGGATGACGACGAGCCGTGTGGTGTCTGATCAAAATACACGGCCCTACAAAATGTGCCGACATGACGATGTGACGAGTTTATGCTTTCGTTCCAGCCTTTTCTTTTTGCATTTGTATATACATTAGCCCGTTTCTCAGGATAGATTATTGCTGTTGCATTATTTGCTGAGACAAAATCGGTGTTTGATTCAACCTTGAGTGGAATAGATCTTTTGTGGAGATGTTGCCATGACCCCAAGAAAGAAGACTATTCAACTATTGGGTTTCGAGATACTTGAACCTACTTCTATAAATATGTCGAGTCTGAAAGGGATATAAATAGGGAAGTGTAGTACTAAGCTAGGCCGAACTGGCTCGAAAAGGTATTCCCTATACAAGACATTGCAATTTATTCGCTGAATATGCTCATACAGATATTAACAGCACGAGATAGCACAATTAAAGACTGGATAGAGAGACATAGAACCGAACAATCCAGAGGGGTGGAGTGGAGTGTTGAAGCGACAAGCGGTCGGTGTATGAGAATGATTCAACGTCCGAAGAAAATTCGAGACTCAAAGACAAACAGCAAGGGTATATAGCACATAATGGTCGTGGCAGTACATCGTGGATAAGTGACATGAAAGAGACGCAGGCCAAAAAAACAACAGATAACCAAAGGAATTAGAACACTGTCAAGCCCAGCGCCAGCCCAACTCTTGTGACTTTTGACGCTTAATAACATCCGACAGCAGGGTATCGCCTTGACCATAGGGATTGCGCTCATTTTTCTTCCGCTGACGTTGAAGCAACTGCACAGCAGCAGTAGCATCAATCCCTTCACCAGTATCCGTAATCTTAAGAGCCCACTTAGCATCTTGCGGACTAAAGCCAAGCTGATTGACCATCATATCAATGGCGCGGTCAACAGGGTCCAGGACCTGCGGCCGCAGAGGCGGAGGATTGTACGACGAAGCAAAGGCAGTGGAAGGATCGGATGGGTGAGTCGGGGTACGAGGAGCCGTCCCAGCAGTTGAGGTCGACCTGTCAAGAACGAGAGCAGGCACAGAAGGCACAGATTGAGCGGGCCGGTGACCTCGAATCGAGCCGTTGAGATTATGGACAATAGTGCTGAACTCCGACATAGGGCGTTCGGCAGAGAAGGATAACCGGCCTGTGGGGTCTGCATCGAGACCGCGTTCACGGCGGCGACGAAGCTCGTGGGCGAATCCAGCTTGGCGCTCACGGATCTCGCGGTCGTTTTCGACGGGGCTTGCTTTTTGCGGGCTTGTTTCGTTAGGGCTGTCGAGTGCACGTTCTTGGAGCTCGTAGGCGCGCGAGACTGCTTCTTTCAGGAATGATGATCGACTTGCTTCGGTTTCGGTTGGTTCCCATTTGGCGAGACCAATTGACTTCGCTTTAGTGAATGTGGCGGCAGTGGTATCGGCCGGGCAGACTGAGCTGAGTGTTAACACTGCGCCCAGACCGAGCGTGAGAATGTATGAAGTCCACTCCTCTGTATTTCTGAGTTAGCCGTGATGAAATAGACAGATGGTTGTTTCGCTTACCGAGAACGGTTTCTTCGCGAGCTAGATCACCATCTGGGACATTCATGCCATCAAAAATGCCCACCTTGCGAGCTTCAATGCACTTTCCATGCAACGGCTGTAACAGAACACCCATGCATGTCCAGATCTCCGTCAGATCGTACATCTGCTTTTGCGATAGACCAGAAAGATTCCCACGACCGAATCCCTCGGGCGGTTCAAATAGGACATTATTCATACCGAAAGGCTGGGTCATCGTCGAAGCTGAGGTGAAATGATCCTTCGCCTGCACACCACCCTTCAACCAGTCCATTTGGCCAGCGATATCATTCTCCCGCCCCTTGCCACTACCAAAAATCCGACAGAAGGTCCACAGTCGCCAGAACGCATCGTCGACTTCCTCAGCGCGGGTGTTATCCACGCCCGCCAGACCACGAATGGTATCGCGACGCAGGAACGGAGCGCATCGCGCAAGGACCAACGTCTTCAGCTTGGCAAGGGTGTAGATATCCTGTGCGTACCTCTGCAGATACAGCGTGGGAGTGTACTCCGGAACCTGGGAGTCGGGGTCTATAAGTGGCTGCCACTCAATTTCCCATGGCGGACTCATCTCACGCATTTCCCAAGCGGGCGGAGACATCTTGAACAGGGCATTTTTCAGCATGGGCAGCTCGCGACCTTTGAACGCGGTGTAGATCTTTTTGTTGACGAGGACGAAGTTGAAAAGGTCATCCAGAGAGTCGATGTTCTGCATGATTGACAGAATCAAATCCATCGGCATATCTTCGGGAAGAGTGATATTGACTGGGACATTGCGCTCGGCCTGGGAAGGGAGCGCGGATGAAGGCGACGGGGGAGTAGCGGGAAGTTCATAGATGTGTTCTGTGAGTTGGACGCTGCTCGCCTGGGCAGTCGAGACCAAAGCCCAGCTCTGACGGATTTTGGAGGCTATGGGCTTCTCCTCTAGTTTCACGCCCTCCATGGCGACTAGGCCGGGGCTACCCGACAACACTGCTTTTTCCGCAACGGTGTCGAAGGGATTCCCGAGATGGTTAGTTTGTAGACGAGGTAATTGAAGTAGCAGGCTGTCGCGCGTGGGGGCCAGGTCAAGGGGATCGGCAGAATGCGATTCCAACGTCATGTGGAGGGAGTCCTCCGACCGTGAGCTGACGCTAACTGCATCGCGCGGCGCTTGGCTTTGCTTGCGAAATGCCAGGAAAGATTTCTTGGATTTCGCTTTTTTGATGTTTTCCTTGGAAGTTGGAGTATTTTTTGCGTCGGGCTTCTCATCCATCTCCATCTCCTTATCCCTGCCCGACCGACGAGGCTCGTCTTTCGCCTCCCTCTTACTGAGGTTTTGGCTTTTTTCTTTGGTTGAACTTAGGTCTCTCGATTTGATCGTGTTGACCCGACTGCTGTCCTTCAGTGCCGATTTCCCTTGTGGTGTTTGTGAGTGAGGCTTCGTGGAAGGGGGGAGGGGCGCGGGCCGGGTAGCAATCAAGTCCCCGTTATGGCGGCTGATCTGCAACGGCCCATCGAGGATCAGCAGTGTCTTGTGAGACAAATCTTGATCAGCCAGGGCCGTGAGGGCATCTTCGAGTTCCTCGGTAGCCTGCGACAATGTTGGGACATGGCGGGCTCGACGACCAGCGATCACCAGATCTGACCGTTGTCGACCATGACGCTGCGGCTGACGCTGACTGTGTCCGCAAGTATCGCATGGATTGTCGGATTGTCGGTGGTTATTCAACCGGTGTATCATGGATTTTTTCCAGTCGCCATGGCTCACCGTGGCGGGGTGTTGCAACGGGATCAGCGAGTCTCTCTTGGAGTATTGTGTTGACCACTGTGACTTGAAGCGTGGTGAAACCGCCGAAAGGGGGGAGTCGCTGGGGTTACTTGCGGCTGAACTGGGAGCGAAGGATGGCTCTAGTGGCAAGGGCTTGTTCTTGAGGTCGTTGATTGATACCTCTTTGGTGATGGGGATTGCGCAGGCGGGTTTTGACACGTGCAGGTGGCAGGGCGCCACTATTGAGGAAGGCCGCGACGAACATATGGAATGGGCATCGTCAAAGACGCCGGCGGCGACAGGGGAATAGATCGAGTATGCATCAGCCGTTTTGTAAGGGTATCGTTCATCATCTCCCCAAAACGTGCTGCCGACACTGGTCACCGAAGAGCGAGGACTGTAGCATGATGAAGCACAATCCAAAGTCTCATCAGATCCAGAAGATGGGAGGGTAATCTCCGCTTGATCGACAGACCCATGTGCATCCGGAGCGACGTCTGCAGAACTTCGATATAAAGTCTGCACGCGTTCTTCTAGTTCCCGCTCGAAGAATGAGTGTCCCATCGAGCGGTCCATATTGGAATCAGCGCTGACCGGGGAGACAACGGAAAAGTGTGAGGATAGCTCTGGGAAGAAGCGAACTAATCGTGAAGCTGAACGCAATGGAGGGAGATAGTCCGACAATGGAGAAATTTCAGAATCATCTTCGGAATCTTGGGATTCCAAGTCAATCATAGTGTCCAAAGATCTCTGCGCGGAGGCAGACCGAGTGTCCCCGGAGCCCCTGCTTGCAATATCTTCTTCTTTGAGACCCAAGTGGTGTGATTGGCCTTGACTTTCGTTAGTATCCGGTGCCATGTGTTGAGCAGGGGCCCCTGGGACCGCTCCAGACGGGCCACGCGTGGTGTCCGCGATCTGCGCCGGCATTGTCTGTAAGTCTTTATAGATTGTGGGACTCGGTTGACCTGAAACAGAGACCCGGACAGCTGTGAGTCGGGTTTCCAGACTGAAGGGCTTCCTTCGAAGCTTCAACGACGGAGGACGAAAAACTAGTTTTTTTTTATTTGAAGGCTTGGTCTTCTGATTTGAAAAATCACGAGGCCCAGAAGGTGATATTGACGGCCAATAACTCATATCTCAGCTCTTTTTCTAGGTATTTATTCGGGGGGCATTGTCGACCGGTTTAGGTTGTTCTTGCTCTTTGTTAGCATGTCACGAAGTTACTCAAAGCACCTCTCAATTGCGCTAGAACGTACCGTCAATTGCAGTCTCGGTGCAGGCAGACTAGTGGAGGCGAAGTGTATGGGTTTCTTTGTAGAGAATAGTTTGTTCCGGTTGTGGCCGCATAGAACAAAGACCACCCACCAACTATTTTTTTTTGTTCTCTCTTGCAAGTATACGAGTTCGCAAAGATGAAACAGAGAGAAGGTCGAAATGGGCACTATTTTAGGTAGATATAACACCGCATAACATAGCACAGACCGGTTGATATTGTCTTTTAGGCCCCCCGGAATCAGCAGGTGTCCTCCAAGGATCTGTCGGAGAGTATGGCGCTTCTCAAAGTGACATCCCAGACAAATAATCAGACCATAGTTGGTTATTCCGTCGGTTGTTCATTTGTGGGCTGCAGCTAAGCAGCGATCCCCTGGGGCCAAAAGATCCCCAAATTCCCGATTGAGCAAGTCGTTTGGGAGTAAAAAGTGGTGATGTTAAAAGGTGATGTTTAAGGAAGACTCTTCAATTTTTACAATGGTCATTTCTATAGTTAAACGGAGTACGGAGTACGGAGTAGTTGCAGGTTCGTGTTCTCTCGTACTCGGAAAGGCGCAGTAAATGCTATTCCTAATTCCGTGTTGATTGACACGGATTCTTGCCGTCAGGGGAAGTGAGCTGCATGGATACGAATGGCCAAATCGGGCCAATGATAAAGCAGACCTTCCCACAGCCACGGAAAATACATGCACGGCAATTGCCACATTTTCCGCCCCATTGCCCGGTGTATTCCCGCCACTACGGAGTATGACCGTGATGAAATAGACTCGTACATCTGCTCTAAAACCCCTGCTCATGGTCTTAGTACTCCGTATTCTTTACATAACACATACCTAGTAGCTCGTTAACTAACTATAACTATCCCCACTTATGGTGCCTTGAACAATTGTGGGAGCCAAATTGCAATGACTGAGCTTGGCTAGAGTTCACTGTCGGTATCTGCTTGGCTCTACACATACACTCTGCAGGTAGAGCACTGGCCCAATCTAGAAGGAGGATAACATCAAAAGGGCAACTACTCAACTAGTCCAAATGAAATATACATGTCCTTTATCTCACATTTCTGGTGCTCGCCGTTAGCGATAGTCTGGCTATCCATGGATGATCTCATGGCTGACTTTGCAAATGAAGCGGCGCGAGGTGGGGGCACAAAGGCCCGCTGTTCTCGGGTATCTTCCTTCGCCACGTGTGGATTGGACTGGGTTTGATACTGGATTCGACGACGTTTTGGCTCCACGTCCAAGCTTCAAGGTTTATTCTCTTACTGAAGATTCGTTGACTCATCACAGGTAGCTGCCAGGGAACTTGCGGACGGGAAGCCTAAAGTATAATTTTGATATGAATAAGAAACAAGAAACAAAAGCGAAGGCGACAGGGAGAGAAAGGAAGATAGGGCTAAGATATTGAGGCAGATTGGAAGTAGAACATAAGTGAAAAGAGCAGAACTCGGAAAGGAGATTTGCTGCCTGAGGCCAAAGTTTCACCTGCCTCAGTCTTCAAGCCGAGACTATGAGTCCCAAGGTTTCATCTCATCTACGGAGTAGGAGGCTACTCCGTAATCATCTTATATTATCTAGCATCAGTTTACTCGATATGCAATTAAATGTATTTGGATCATTTGCCTATAACAGTACGGAGTAGATTGATGGTTATCAGATTTCTCGACCGAAGGGTGACAGGAGCTCGATGATCCACAGGGGTCCTATGTTACATTGGTTAAATTGCAGGTCAATCCCAGCGATTGACCCAATGGCAGCCACCGTCTTATCCACGATGGATTATTAAGAGCACGTCGTAGATGAATCCGGCCTTCGTTGCTCGTCTTACATGCATCGGCTCACTTCTCTTTCGGGTAAATCCTCTGGATTCTTCAAGACTCAATGAGACAACATCAATCAAACTGATGAGCAGCAACTCGGCGCTCACATTCCCCCGAAGGCTCGGATTTTCTATGTATAAAGCCAGCCAACTAACGAGAATGTGAGTAGTAAGATACAACCACGAGCCCTACTCTATATCGATTGTCTACTGTGCGTACCCCCTATCATGCTTGGCAAACTCCCATCAATCGCAGCATTGCTGGCGCTCAGCCTGGGCGCGCAGGCGAGCCTAATCTTCAAAAACACCGGCACAACCTCCGGCTGGGACAAAATAAACAAAGAACACAAAGGCACCGTGCAGCAAGTGACAAACGTGGTTTACCAAGGCAAAACCGCGCTTAAAATGACTCAAATCTACGATGAAGACTACTCCGGCCGGTATCACTCGGAAGTGGTGAAGAACGACGTGTACAAGCGCGGCGATACGGGCGCATACGGGTTCTCCTTCCGACTGCAAGACAACTGGCAATTCCTCCCTGTGCAATCCTACGGTATCGCGCAATTTATTGCCGACTTCACAGATAGCGGCTGTGAAGACTGGATGCCAACGACTATGGTCTCGCTCAAGGGTAACAAACTCTACTCGCGTGTCAAACAGGGCTCGGTCTGCAAGCAGGAGGTTAAGGGTTTCAACGACATAGCCACTGTCACTGCAGGTGAATGGCACCGGATTGAAATCGAGGCGAAGTGGGAGTCGGATGGGACGGGATATTACAAAATGTGGTATGATGGGGAGAAGGTGTTGGATGAGAAGGATATCAGTACTACCATTGACGATGATCGGGCTTTCCAGTTCCGGGTTGGCCTTTATGCCAATGGCTGGCATGATGATAAGCAGATGAAGGGGTCTCAGGGGACTAGGAATGTTTGGTATGATGAGATTGCTGCTGGGACTACGCTTTCTGATATTGCGGCCGAAGCCGATATCGATGCCGGCGAGTGTTGATTTGGGTGATTTCGAATGTTCTGTATATAGCCGAGGGTAATATCGACGGAACTGTATTTGATCAGAACAGAATTGACGCAGAGTTATGGTTTGATTAATTCTCTCGAATATAGATGTGCCTGTCTTAGATCTATACTTGAGTTACTCTTCGATTTAAAGCCGTCTATGGCGTAGGAAAAAAAAATTAATAAGTAAGGCAGTTGTAACTATTCACAACCCCTAAAATGCCCAGGTTTGGAGGGGCTTGTCTGGATATTAAATCGAAACGTATATCGTACTAGTTAGTTGTTGCTTATCGGTCGTCGCTACTAGCGTGAAGTTCAGGATTACCGCGAGAGAGCTCGAGGATAATGGGCCAAGTGGGTTCCCATCAATTCTATCGGCGTATCTCAAGGTACTTTCGATCTGCAATAACAATTCCTTTGCACATCGATGTAAAAATATCTCGTATTATAGTGATGGCCCCTATTTTGCGTATACTTTGTATGGAGAAGCCCGTGTTGTGTGGGGTCCAATTCAGAACTGACACCCCCTTGCATGAATATTGCCCTCACCTAGGCCTTGGGCTTCGATAATTTATGTATCTATGCTAATCGTGGTTGTACTAGTCCTACCGATAATCTGTACGGGGAGGAATCTGAGGAGGACCTCGTAGACCAAGAGATGAGATCCTCGTAACCTCGCCTGCTTTGACCCCGCTTGGACTATGGCAGGGTCGATCTTGCCGAATGCGTTGATGCCGAGGGAGGATCGTCTGCAAGATTTACGGGATTCCAGTAACAAACCCGTACTACTAATCCACAAATGTTAATGTTCTGCGAGCGGGGTGTTGCTAATTATATCCAGAGCTAAGCATCCGGAGTCTAGAACACCAGAACATCTCACGCAGGTTGACACTACCAATAATAGAAATATACCCTAGGCCCTGGCTGGTTTTTAGTGCTGACTTTGAACTCTGATGTTTCGCAGAAACCTAGCGGGAATTTTTGGTATTTTCGAAAGACTCCGGTCTATACAGCACAACACCATGAATAGATGATTCCAATTAATTCTATATTTCTTGGAGTTAAAGTTATCCCAGGTCTCTGTCGACAGTATTCTTTGTACCAAAATGGCTTCTTACTTCATCTTGCACATTCTTTCTTTATCAAAACTGTAGTCGGGCAAATTGCTTTCAATTTCCATACCGATCTTCATTTTCCTTTATGCCAGAGTATCTGGGTTTTTCAGATATAATTTTTTACACTCTATAGTGCTGGAGCAAGTAAAACTAGGCCTGAGGTTGGTCTTTAACTAGACTGTTGGGTTGACGGAAACAGAAAATATTTCAATTCAATTGTATATACGAACCAGCATCTTCTAATGTCGCTTCTAGTTATGAAAGGATCTTTCTGTTCTCAAGATGAACCCGATCAAAGCCACGTTTCCCACATTTCGTCGAGTCCTCGACTCTCTTTGATGATCAAGGGCAATGTGCGATTGGGCTATGAATTACCCTTAAATTATGTTCTCAAACATTGATATTTCAATTGTTTAGTATTGACTTGACGCCGGAGAAACGAACGGTAGCGACCTCCAGTCTCCGTTCAGCATATAGAATTGATGCACAGGGCTCAAGGTAGACTCGACCTCCATAGCTAGATTCAATGTTTCATTTCAGATTTATGAAGATGAGCTTATTACTAGAACAAACTTTGGCTCTTAGAGTCTTTGTTCATTTGTGCGCTCAGAATCGTCCTCGCCTACCCGTTTAGGATGAATTCATGTTACTTCTTGTCCAATAACTGTGACCCAATCTATATTTATCTTCTTTGGTTCCTTTCGTCAAAGAAAAATGTAGAGAACTGTCACATAATGATGTTCCTGGGGGTTGGGGAGGTGGAAAAAATATAAGCTAGCTGTGTCTCAATAGCCAAATTCGCACGAACCTCATAAAATTTCGCGATAGACCCTCCCAATTTCATCCATCATGGTCGGCTTCGATGAAGAAATGCTGGACTCTTGGGGTCCAGCAGTTTGGGGAGTCATCTTCGACCGATTGCAAAGTGGAAACGTCAAAGGTGGTGCGCTTCAGGTCGCCTGGCCAAGCAAAGTCGACCAAAAAACAGCAGCTCAGCAAATCCAATGGGCCACCAAGTTGCCTCTTCCCCAGCTCCCTCAGAAGGCACTCGAGATCATATTTGACAGAATGGTTGGTTTCTCAGTGGGAGTTCGATATATGGAGGAAAAGAAGATCCACGCTATGCATGGACTCGTAACACACAATGGACCACTCAAAGCGAGTGTGGAAAAATGGTTCAAACGTCCTGGTACCGTCGATAAATGGAGGGAATTGATCCGCTCATACGCAAGTTATGAAGACGCAATGGGCCATTTGTCGGATTGCACTACGTTCCCGAGAGAAACGGACAAGCATCCATTCAAGACCCACCCTGCATACAATGCCGCAATGCAATGCGCTTCTTGCTTAGAATTCCTGGTCCATTTCGGGATCGTCAGGCCCAATGGCTATGACTTATCAGGAAGAAGCTGGCTCGAGGCAGGATTGAATGGCCCCAATATGGATTTGCTCACCTGCATTGTCAGCAATGCGGATCCTCAACATCTGACCAAACCCAGAGATATCAGAGAAACTCGCGAGAACCACATTCTTCTCTCACTTGTCGGTGTCGGTGCGTTTTCTCAATTCGTGATTGCCCTGAACAGGCTACGCCAGGCAAGACTTGTACCGATCGAGGAACTTCGCACAATCTTCCATGAAGCAGCGATGCATGAGTTCTGCGCTGTCGCACCCGTCGCCGTGGCGGAAGCACTCTACCAACACGGAATCAACATTGGCAACGTCGAGCATCAGTACCATGAGCTCGGCGGACAGCTAGAATCCTCCTGGCACATCGCAGCAGCCTTCAATCCCGCCGGAGCCGACTTCATGGCCTGGCTCGATAAATTCTCTATGCTCAACGCAGAGGTCCGGAACTCGGAAAACATGAACCCGCTGATGTACGCCGCATGCTTCGACGAGCCAGCCGCAATCGACTGGCTATGCCAAAAATGTGATCCCATGCAGCCCAGATTGGCTGGAGGCCCGCAAGGGTACGCCCTGATTTGCGCAGCCCGAAGCTCGTACCTCCACAGCGGCGAGATATTCTCCATTATCCTCTCACATCTACCAGATGAGCTATTCGACAACGAATACGGCAAAATCTTCGGCACAGAGATTGCCGAAGGGCTAGCATCGCACAAGCGCAAGCTCTCCACCGGTCGAATCAGCGAACCCACGCAAAACGTGATGGAGCTTCTTGCTATACGCAAGATGCAAGCACTCGTCCGCCGCTTATCTAATTTCTGGCCCGGAAGCGAATGGCACCTGGCGCTGGATGCGTTCATACGCGATAACGATCTAAGTGTCCTCAAACACAGTATCGGTACAGGGACGCGGCTGCTTCGGAGCACCTCGCGGGAGAGCTCGCGCACTCGTGGCGCACGTTACCCCAAAAGCTCTCAATTGCGCAGCATTTCTGAAGATGAGGTGCTGGTTATGTATGAGGGCCGCAATGGGCCAAATCCCGCTCGCGCGGATGCTATTAGGAGGAAAAGGCCGGCTCATGTTACTGCTCGCAGCGGCGGGAGACAGGCTCTTGGTCTTATCAGGGATTCTAGCAATATGGTAACCAAGACTGTGCGTAGGAATGGATCGCGTCGAAGTTGAGAGGTTGTATCTTGGATACTGGTAAAGGGATCGGCGTTGCTTGTTGTATTAAGCACCGAAGTGCGCTTCTTGCGTATGACGTTCTTTTTATTTCGTTTATGTCTGACGGCATTTCGATGGCTTATGTTCAGTTCCTACGTTTTGTGATGTTCTGATTCGAATTAGTGTCCTCCTTTTGCCGGTTTTGTATGTTCATACATGTCTTAGCAATTTACGAATAGCCTCTAGTTTCTTTTCACATTCTCGAAACAGAACATTGTCTACTGCGTAACATCTCTTGTTCCAATTAATCTGCCTGCAGCTGTCGAGCTAATTGCGAAATAAACAGGCTGAACAAACGAAAGTAAGCGATTTAGAAAAAATTACCAGTCAAGTGCATTTGGCGAAGTATCATTCTGTGATGAATTCTGTGATCCATCGCCAACACAGTCTAGCTCTTTGCACACTTAAGCCAGTTAGTGGATAGCACGGCTAACTGGAAATCAAAGAACTCACGTTGTTCTGCTCTTTGGAATAGAGTGCTTCCTTCTGGGTTGTGCATAGCTGGAAGGATCTGACCCCCTTCGATCCGTTCGAGCTTTGTGTGCTCCTTGAGTTGACCCAAGATTTGAAGAGTGTCTGCTTAATTGAATGAGAAAATATAAAGGAAGCTGGTATTCAAAGACCATACCTGTGTTATTTAACTCGCCCGAGGACCTAGTTTAAAAAGAGATTAGCAACAGGTCTTGTTGGATGATAGATAGCAGCTTAAAGTACTCACCCTTGCTTGGACAATATGTATTGATATTCAAGCTCAATCTCTCCAATCAAATTCTTCGTCGCGCTCTGTAATACCTCGGACATTTTCTGAATTTCCGGTTCATTCACGGCGGAGCGGGCGAAGAGGTCGAAGCGAATATTCGTCTTCGACTCAGAGGCGGGAAAGAAGGAAAGGGCGAGACATAAATCCGCATTCCGAAATGAATAAACATGCGTAGTAGGGAACAAAGAATACTCTTCAAGGGTGCTCTTCCGCGTAACAGACCTGACAAGATTCATGACAGGAGAGGGTCCCGATACTTCAGACATTCTGCGATGTAGCTGGCTGGTATAGACTTCGAGGTGACGAGCTCGTGCTATTGCAGTCAATTATTGCCTCAACAACTTTTGACAGCAGTTACTTACCTCCAACCTTCCAATTGAAGCCTCCCGACAATGTCTGACCAGCAACCCACGTGGATTTCGCTTCTAGACTAGCCATGCGCGCAAATCCACTCAAAGTCGAAGCCACCTCACTCCCAAATGCAGCCGGCTCACCACAATTGAGATTCATGAAAATCATCCCTTGATCAGTGTTATGCGTATGGACCTCAAATAGACTATTCTGCGACTTATCAAACCCGGGAACATCATCAAAGTGAGGGGCCTTCACCAGCCGACCAGTGGAATCATAGCTCCAGCCATGGTACCGACAACCAAGAATAGCCGAGGCACCAGTCTCTTTCCTGGTGATGGCATAGGCACGATGGCGACAGATATTATGGAAAGCGCGGATCTTGTCATCCTTACCGCGAATGAGGAAGACCGGGAACCCGGCAACGTCGAAAGATTGATAGGAACCGGGCTTTTGGAACTGGGAGCAGTGGGCAAGATAGAGCCATGTCTGGAGCTGCATGTTAGCGCGATGCTGTGAAGCCATATCGTACCGGACTTTTTATTACTTGGCTAAAGAGTGCGCGCCGTTCGAGCTCGAAGACTTTCCGACCGTTCCACCATCCTTCTGGGATGTCCGATACTTTGGAAACGGTCAAGCCTGAGTCGTTTGAAGAGGTTATTACAGTAGATCCAGTGACTTCATCAACTTTTGGTTGAGATAAATGAGGCCATGTTCGGTGGAGTAGAAAGATAATTGTCACCAACGCCACGAGGATGGAGGCTGAGGAGGTTAGGAAATCTGCATCGGTAGTCCCCATGAGAAACAAAGTGCTGCTGTTTTGAGTAATAGAGAATGGTTGGCATCTGCCACTGATATACTTGTCACTGGGAAGCCTGTATGTCACCCACCACATTATGCTCTCCACACTTCGCGCATATGCCTCCGCATATTACCCGATTGGGTTGGAATTTCCTGGCTGTGTCACTCGGTTGACATGTCAGTTCCGATCTTCGATCCCATATGGTTCGGGTTATTTTTATCATACTGTGAGTACTGTGTAAGGCATTAAGACTATGGTTGCATTCAAAATTTCATATCTCATAACAAAAGAGCGATCGCTATATTCCTATGACATATGTATACTACGCTGTCATTTCAGCCATGGAGGGCGCAACATGCTCCTCCAGCCCAGACTCTTTCGCTGTTTTGGCGGTCCTGTCAAACTCATGCTGCTCGCAGACCATATCAAACACCCGTCTCTGGTAGTCTGAGGGAGACGTGCACGTCAGCATTATCGTGTAAACCAACTTTGAAAGCCACAACTCACAAGACACGCCATTCTCCTTGTTTGGGTTCAAAATCCCCTCGTGATAGACTCCCTTAGCTAGATTGCTTTGGGCCTTTTCGCAGAGCTCGAAGTCTTCCATAGCGACTTGACGCACGAATTTAAAGTATTCTTCGAACTTGTCTCCAGACTCAAGATGGAAGTAATCGAATTCCATCCGGGTGACATGCGGATCAGCGGTCGGACATACTCTGAAGGAGGACATGCCACCACCATAGACATTCAGCGTGCAGTTGGGAAAGAAGTACAGGAATAAACCATCATCAGATTTGTTGGGGTCTGCGATATGCTGCGAGAAATTGTGCTTGTTGCGTACTGTATAGAAGGTCGGCGGGTAGTATTTGGAGAAAGACGGATGGGTATATTGGCAGTGAAGACACTCTTGATATCCGTCGACCCTGATGAAAATTAATAATCACAAAATATAAAAGGATAAGAGAAAATAATACATGGTTTTCCAGTTGAACCGGCCTTCGTAACTGATGCTACGACGGTGTGGTAGCTTAGTGAAATCGACTTTGCCGAGCAGCTCCTCAAGCTCTGGGAAGAATTCATGGAAACTTGGAGCATCGTCGGAGATAGTTGAGAAGAGGAGTCCGGTCGGGGTGAGATGGCTACGCAGTTCTTTGCCCTGTAGGTATCACAATCGTTAGATGGGACTTGGCGTTTCACCTGGACCACACGTACTGTTTTCGCGCAGACAACCTTCAGCTCCTCGGCGACGGGGTTCAGAGCCTCCCCTGAGGTGCGAACAGCAGAGACTGGCTGCTGGGCAACTTCGTACGGAATATGCTCGCCCACAACCTGGAATCTGGTGACTGGGCCGAGCAAGTACCAGGACTGGAGCACATCTTAGTCTCCTTCAACTGCCAGGAGATTGCGTTTACATACTTTGAGAAAGACCGCCCGCCGCTCCATCTGATACAGCGGCTGACTGCAATACCAGGAGGCAGGCAAAGTGCGAGTGAGCTCAGACATGATGTCGATGAAGTTGTTTATTGTATTTCAAGTATCAAGTAGGCACGATCGAATTCGTGAACTGCGACAGCGATAGCGATAGAGACCCATTTTTATATCGCTGCAGATTGCCTTTCGTTCCAATAGGGTGTCTCGCGACCCCAATTGGTAGACATGCATTTTTCTTGGTTGCAATAAGGCTGTCCAATCTTAAGTGCACTGGAGAGGTGCGGTATGTAGTTTCCCAAACGAGTTATCGAGTCCCGTTGATGTTACGTTGGATCACACGGCCGACGCACAGATCTAGATGTTCTGGCCGTGCAAAGGCCCAAAGATAGGCAAAATATCTTCAGGGTCTTGAACTTTTATGAGCTGAGTCAAGGGACAATGCCGCCAATGGGCGAAGTGTGAGGGCGGAAGCGGATATACCTAAGTAGGCATTTTTCGCCTGTCTACGCTTGAGTGAGCTTTAGAGGACGGATAATATTAGGAGAACTAAAAAGATTGGAATGAGAATGTCTATGACAACGTCCAATAGCAACAGTCGTTCTAATTATTTGCTGTCGTCTTCCAGTGGTGATCTAAATCGGTTATGCTACATGGACATATGTACATAGGTAAGAGATACCATGACCACCTAAAATTATCCAGAAACGAAATTTGCAACACAAATCGAAGACAGAGACAGAGAGATTTTATTCTCTTTACCTCGATGTTGAGGTTCACTATGAATTTGGCTGCCTGGAGGATCCGTGAGTGGCGACCGGAGGCGCAAGAGCAAAATAGAAGAAAAGAGAGATGTTTCCAAAGATCGCCAATTCAGGAAAATCAGACATCTCAACAAAGATCGAAAGATTCAGAAGGTCCAAAACAGAGTGTGAAAGAAGCATCACTGGAGATATAAAGGAAAGCAGACGATCCGTATCTTATCGGGCAATTACGTCGTCTCCAACTTCCAACTTTCCAACCTCCAACAACTTGAAAGGTTGGAACTTTCAACTTCAAAGATCCCTTCTGTTATGGCCTCGGTCAAATATACTCCCCCTCCTACACCCTCACCTCCGGCATCTTGTTACGCCATGAGTGATGACGAAGAAGATGAATACAACACCATCACCCAGGCCGCCTCGAGCAGAGGGGTGAAGCTGCTCTTCTCTAAAAGCAAAGTGAGACAATCTCCATCAAAGAGGAATACCAATCTAACAATAAACCCAGGTCTACGTCCATCCAACTTCCTCTTCCAAAGATAATATCCCTGGCTTTATCGCCCTCATCCAGCAAAAACCCCTCCCCGCATCACATGCACCCGCGTCTCAATCTAGAAACCCCGATACACCCTCCTATCTCCTCGCATGGGTCCCAGAGTCCTCCCTTGGAGAAGCCTATGATACATATGTGAAAGTAGACCTTTCTGAAGGCGACTCTCCGCCGCGTCAGAAGTACCTCGTTCCGCCGCTTCCGACCACCACCACCTACAAAGACCCTATCGGGTTGTATTCCTTTGCAATTCCACTATCAGAGATATACTCGCTATTAGTACGACCACCGAGCCTAGGATGGTGGTTTGGGAGTCTAGTGATCAATACCCGAGCGGGCGATGGCTTCCCCGCGCTATTTTTCCATGACGATGAATGCGAGTCAACTATCCTACAAAAGCGGAAGAGGGTCAAGGAAAACTTCGATCCATTTGGCAATGAAGGGGGCTTGTTCTGGGGCGGCGATGAGGTACTGCGCTGGTTGCGGAGGTATGCGGAGGTGCAGCGCTCCGCGGTGGACAGCAACGTCTACCTCATCAACCCGTCAGATGAGGACCAGCTGTCCTTCGGCCGGCCGGTGAGCCACGGCGATAAATCCATCTTAGCAAAGGCACAGCCCGAAGCCGCCGCCGCCGGATCTCGAGCCGAACCGCCTGATGCCAGCATGGATCCATTCATGAAGACTCTCAAGGAAACACGGTGGAAAGTGCTGGAGCAGCTCAGCAAAATCACGACCTTTACCCGTCGGACTGCCAATGAGATCGCGGAGAATCCTCGCATACCGCCTCAAGTGCGCCGTTTAATGAAGAATCCAGAGATCCAGACGCTGCAAGATGAGTTCGACAGCGCTAGGGTCTATCTAGCTCGTTGGGCGATGAGTGTTGCCGAGCAGAGCGATAAAGAGCGAAATCAGCGTATATGGACCGCGCAGGATATGCTGGAAATGGAGAATAGCTCGGTTGGGGACTTCGAGATCTTAGAGCTGGAGACCGGGACCCTGGCTCTCCAGGAGCGACGCCATGTTCTTCAACTGGAAGAATGGGAGGGCTTCTTTGACCCGACCTCTGGCAGACTCCAAGTGACGACGGACGAAGTGAAGGAGCGGATCTTCCATGGCGGCTTGGATCCCAATGATGGAGTCAGAAAGGAGGCATGGCTCTTCCTTCTCGGTGTGTATGCGTGGGATAGCAGCCGCGAGGAGCGCCAAGCGATGATGAACTCTAAGCGCGATGAGTATATCCGGCTGAAGGCAGGCTGGTGGGAACGGATGGTCGAGGGCAACTCAACGGTCGAGCAGTTTGATCATTGGAAAGAGCAGAAGAATCGGATAGGTGCGATTACACCTTGGATTCGACATGGTGGCCGCTAACACATGGATATAGAGAAGGATGTTCACCGCACCGACCGTACCATTCCTTTGTTTGCGGGCGAAGACATCCCTCATCCGGATCCTGATTCTCCGTTCGCCGAGACAGGTACCAACGTCCACCTGGAGCAGATGAAGGATATGCTCTTGACGTATAATGAATTTAACCCGGATCTTGGGTACGTCCAAGGGATGAGTGATCTCCTGGCGCCGATCTACGCCGTGATGCAAGATGACGCCGTGGCTTTCTGGGCGTTTGTCGGGTTTATGGATCGAATGGTATGGCTTTCACGATGCGACAATCTACATCGTCTTAACTAACCTCACTGCACAGGAACATAATTTCCTCCGAGACCAGTCTGGAATGCGTGGCCAGCTATTAGCGCTGGATAACCTCGTCCAGCTCATGGACCCACAGCTCTACTTGCATCTGCAGTCCGCCGATAGTACCAACTTCTTTTTCTTCTTCCGCATGCTGCTAGTGTGGTACAAACGAGAGTTCGATTGGAGCGATGTGCTGCGTCTATGGGAGACATTGTGGACCGATTACTTCTCTAGTAGTTTCCACCTGTTCATTGCGCTCGCCATACTCGAGAAGCACCGAGATGTAATCATGGATCATCTCAAGCACTTTGATGAAGTGCTGAAATACAGTAGGTTGACTTCTGGACGTAATTCTATGTCAAATCACTAACATTGCAATCTTCAGTCAACGAGCTCTCAAACACAATGGATCTCGTACCCATTCTCACCCGCGCGGAATCGCTCTTCCACCGTTTCGAGCGTTCAGTGCAAGCCATCGACAAGAAAGACAACTTCCCCGCTGTTCCAACCGCCCACCAGCGTCGCCCAGGCGCAACGGGCCAAGATTCACCTTCAGGCAGCAAAGGAAAATCACCACAGCGTACTGATGGATCGAGCAGCGGAGTCGACGCTGGCCCTTCTGCTCTTCAAAGGGCAATCGACGCCAATAAACCGAAGGTGATTTCTCCAGAGCTACGCCAATTGCTTCGTAAAGACATCCCCTGGAAACGCCAACAGACTTCATGATTGGCAATCAGCTGCTACGATGTGCTGGTTGTATGTCTCGCTTGGTACGGATGTTATGCTCACTGGACTGAGTCAT